ACCCATGCCATACCCTAGCGTCAGCTGCTCGGCTGCTTGCTTAACCATAGGATCGCAGCTAAATATGCATGATTGATTTTGCGGCACAACATATACAATACTCCATATATTCCCAGTCATAAATACACGGTGGGCACAGCTGCCTATTCACCGCAAGACCTCATCCTCGGCATCGCTCTCCATCGTCCTCCTGTTCAAAACCGGAGCACGGCCGCCAATACCCCTCGCTCTGGGATCCGAAACTATGCTCGACGGCCTTGCGGGCGAGCCCGACGTCGGCCGAGTGTAGGTCGGCGTTGATCCAGGCGCACCGCCTACCGAGTGCCGGTTCAAGCTCGACACCATGCTGCTAACACTGCCGGCGCCGGGCGCACGGGGTCCGCGCGAGGTGCGCGGCCCACGGATGTAGCCCGAGCTATTTTGGCCGGAGTCCGCGCGCGACAGCGAGGACCGCGCCTGCTCAGCCGGCGACGGGCTGCGCGACGGCGGCTTGGCCGGGCTGCCCGGGCGGTTCTGCGACATGAGCGAGTTTCTTTTGAGGGGCACGAATCTGGCCGCGTCGACAGGTGGCGGGGTTGCGGGTGGAGAGACCGGGGGTTCGGCGAAGTTGGGCATGGGCAGGGAGATGTATTCTTCCTCGGGCTCCTTGAACGACGGGCGCACAGGGGCCTCTTGAACTTCCGGGGGCGGCTCCTTGAAAGACGGGCGAGCTGGAGGGTCATTCTCCGGAGAGGGTTCTCTGAAAGACGGACGAGGTGGAGTATCGTCCTCTGGAGAGGGTTCTCTGAACGAGGGGCGCGGGGGCTGGTACGTGTTGGCGGGAGGAGGGGGTGGTACCCGAGGAGCTGCGGGTAATGTAGGAGGTGGGGGCGGAACCATCGGCGGCTTGGGCGCTTGCGCAACAACAGCTGGCGGCGGCGGAGGCGGCGTCAGAGGCTTTGAAGGAGTAGGAGATGGCTGTGATTCCACGGTAGGCGACGTAGAAGCGGTAGAGGGCACCGAGACAGTCGCCGCAGAAGGCAGAGGAGGCACCGGCGGTGCAACAATTTTCGGCTGAGCAGCGGAGATATCCCGGACTGTAGCTCCAGCAGAGATGTTGGCCCGCGTGGAGCGCATGTCCACCATGACTGTGCGTTTCCTGACAGGAACCTTACGTTCAGACTCGCGCTTCTTGCGGCTGATGGTAGGGGGTAGGATGGCATCGTAGTTCTTGATCAGATCAATGAACAACACTGAAAGGCGGCGGGAGCGTTAGTGGTCGTCGTAAAGAAAGGGCAATATGCGTACGGGTTGGATGGCGATCATGGAGGGTCATCTCGTTCTCGGTCTTCGGCCTCAGAATGGCTGTGGACGAGGGGTGAGGTCATGCCACACATGGAAGAAATGGAGAACGTACTGCGACCCATAGAAAGGGCCAACTTGGTCAGATACATTTCGGGGTCTTCGTCAACAGTGGTCGAGTTAATCAGGCTGGAAAGTAACTGTTCAGCACACGCAACGAAACACATTTAAAAAGCAGGTAATCACTTCTTCAAGTGGCTGGCGATGGCATCGAGAACATATAGGTGAACCCGTGGCAATTTCTGCAGAGTTGCAGACAGATCCTGGATGTGCTGCTGTTCTGAGACCTCCCCATTGGCCTTTCCGCCAACTACCAGCAAAGTCAGCGATCATCACGAGTAGCCACCACGCGGAAGAACGCACCGGTGGGATACAGCTTTCTGAAATCTTCCCAGCCCTCCCATGTGGCGAGAGGCGGGTCAAGCTCCAGGATCCACAGCTTGACAGTACCGGCTATGACGGGCGCGTCATACTTGGCCAGCAAATCCGCCGGGATGGGCTGCTCAGGATCAATACCATTCAGGCTCTCGCGCAGGTGGTGCGTAGCGGTCAACGGCACTTCGTAGATCCACGCCTTCCTTTTCTCTGCGGGATGTCTTTGCATTAGCACCGATTCCTCAAAAGCGTGCGCGCGAAACGCCTACCAGCATCATTGGGCAGCTTGCCGTACGCCGCCGCCAAGCCCGTCAGCAGCGCGGCGAGCACATTCGGATACAGCTCCTTCGCGTTCTCGCCCGTCATCTCCGCGCCGTGCGGCGCCCACTTGCGCAGGTCGAGTCCAAACAGCATGTCGCTCTCGTCGTGCGCGGGCGACTCGTACACCTGCGGCATGGGGTGGAACGGCCCCGTGCGGTACCGCTCGATCAGCGCCTTGAGGTCCAGATCGGGCTGGTACGCCGCGATCAGCGTCGACGAGCGCTCGTTGGGCGCGTCGAGCGCCTTGTTCAGGCTGCGCAGCGTCGCCTGGTACTGCAGCAGCACGGTCTTGACCGCGCGCAGGCGCTCCGTCTCCCACTTCTGCAGCAGCTTGAGCCCCTCCTCGACCTTCTCCTCGACGCGCAGGCGCTGGCGGTCGAGCCGGCGCACCGCGACGCGGTACTCCTGGTCCGCCTCCTCCGCCTCGCGGCGCGCGCGGATGTACGCGGGCTCGCCGTGCGCGGTGGCGGTGCCGGTCTGCAGCGCCTTCGCGACGACGTTCGCGAGCGAGCCGGAGCGCTTCATGAACCCGCCCGTGAGCGGCGAGAACGTCTTCGCGGGCGACGCGAGCGGCGTCTCCGCGGCCCCCCCGTGCACCAGCTCGAAGGCCTTCTGGCGGAACTGGTAGTACGCATCATCGGCGTGCGTGAACCCGTTCCCGAGCTCGCCGATGCGCCGCAGCAGATTCTCGCGCTCCGTGAGGTCCCTGGCGGCGTCCTCGGCGCGGTCGAGGTCGCCGCCGAACGCCTTGACGTGCTCGTTCAGCCACGCGACGAGCTCCTCGCCGGAGAAGCACTCCTGGTACTCGCCGAGCAGCGGGATGCGCACCGCGCGCAGCGGCAGCGCGCCCTTCGCCTGGCGCAGCAGCGCGGAGAGGTCCCCGCGCTGGAAGGACACGTTCGCGAGGACGATGGGCGGCAGCGCGGCGGGCTCGACGCGGAGCGTGGGCGGGGGGAGCGCGTCCATGGGCGGCGGGGACGCCATGCGCGGGGGCGCCTCGTCCACGGCCCGGCCCTTGCCCTTGTCGACCTTCACGGCCTTCGCGTCGGCGGGGATCTGCAGGGGCGACGCGACGTGCGCGGCCGCGGGGGACTTCTCGCCCTCGGAGAGCACCTCGAAGACGGTCTCGTCGGCGGGGATGCCGGCGGCGTCGGCGGCCTTGAGCCGCAGGTCCTTGAGCCGCGAGGCGATGCGCTCGGACACGGTCGCCGTGCGCTGCGGGGGGGCTTGGGGCTTGTCGGATGGCTGCACGCGCGGGGAGGTGAATTTGTCTTTGTTGTCGTATTCGCTGTTCGGGGCGAATTTTGCGCTGGGGAGGATCGTGTCAGCAAATGGAGGGAAATGCAGGGATATTGAGGGAAATGAGGGAAGGGAGGAGAAGGGGGCTTACTCGTCTTCAGCCTCGTCCGCACGGCGCGTCTTGTCCGCGTACTGCTTCTTCAGCCTCGCAACCTAACACACATCATCAACGCCATACCCCATTATGTATTCCAAGCAAAAAAACTTACATCTACTTTGGCAGCTTCGTATACTTTGATCCACGAGATAAGCAACAGAGCACGCTGCGCGCCGATGCGCTCGCGGTAGCCGTTCGCCCAGTTTGCAAACGGGTCTGCGACGAGTGTCGTGAGCTCGTTGGCTATCGTGCGGTGCGCCGCGCCCTGCGCGGCGGACTCCGCCTGCAGTCCCCGGAAGGCCATCAGGAGCGAGGCACCGTCGTCCGCGTTGAAGCCGGTTCCTGTTACGCATTGTGTCAGCGCGATTGTGCGGACATGGATGAGCGCAGAATGCGACGAACCTGCGTCGTGCCCAGTCGGAGCGGGGTTGACGAGAGTCATGGCAAGCTGGCCCTCCGCTTCTGCGCGAGCCTACATGCGCATGGGCGGTGTCAGCGTAATCGACAGAATTGCCAACAATGCACGATTGCGCACCCGTATAAATGCGATAATTTCGTCATTCTCAGCGAGGCCCTGTCAATGCAATCACGCTCAGCAACCAGAGGCGCTCTGCGTCTGTGGCGCGGACGCACCTGCTCGAGCTTGTTGAAGAGGACTTCGAGGCCCTTGCGATAGTCGGGCGTCCAGAAGGAGTTGGTAAATGACAGCGGTAAAGACAAGACTGCCATTGTGGTGTGTAGGTCTCAAAATCTGAATCAGAGAGGATATGTGGGCTACGGGGGTGGGGTATTAGTAGGCTACACCCTGGGGGCTGGTTGCAGCGTGGTGGGGTGGTGTATGGGCAGTAAGGGATCGCGGTAAATGATGGCTGTTGTTTGTGAGGCTGTAATTTCGTTTCAAAACGGTCAGGGACCGACGGGCTGTGCGCGGCCGCACACATGGCCGCGCGCGATACCCGTCCCCGAGGGCCGAGCGCTCGAGGTGGCGGGTGGGCGGTCGACTTCAAGTTGAAAGGTTCTCATTGTGCATAATACTTGGATCACATTTGGAAAGAAATTTAAACAAACGCTTCATAGCTTGGAGAGGAATTCGGGCGTGGCCACATGTGCGGCAAGTTTCCCTAAAATTAGGCGCAACCAAAGCGCAGATCATGATCATGTTATGACATCGGGTCTGGCCTCAACCTAGTCTCGGTTTGCCTGCATCCGCTTCTCACCTGTGATTAGAAAAATACATGTCCCCAGCGACGAGCAAGCTGAATACCTACCTCACAAGGCATAGACGTTGAATCAAATGCTTGCCGTGCAGGAATGATTACCACTGGTATCAATAAAGAATGTTAGCAGATAAAAAGAGTAAAAAGATCAGGTCGTGCCAGGGTTCGAACCTGGGTTAATCGGAGGTTGCGCTCGCTCATGCGGCTTCAAAACCGAATGTGATGACCACTACACTACACAACCTGTGATAGAGCACTCAAAGTGTAAGCATCATAATCAATTCACAACTCAGAATAGTTGCCACCATGATCAAAAAAGAGTCTGCAGACCCAAGAGCGCAGCAAAACCCAGGTCGTGCCAGGGTTCGAACCTGGGTTAATCGGAGGTTGTGCTCGCTCATGCGGCTTCAAAACCGAATGTGATGACCACTACACTACACAACCTGTTTCACGCCACCAACCTCATCGGGCCACTTCAGAGGCAAGATAATCGCAGATTTTGTGTGATATCCATGCAATCTTTTACACTATTGGGTGAAATTACTGTCGCCACGCAAGGGCAAGCACTAATGGCAAAAGCATCTTAAATGCCATGCCTCAGATGAGCAAGTTGGGTGGCGCAGCAAGTAACGCAGGATGATGAACACGAACAACCTGAGGGAGGATTCCGACGGAGGAATGCAGTCTCTGCAGACTGAATCACTGTATATGCTAGGTGGCCCAGGAGCATGACCCAGAAGAACGAGTCCCAGCAGTAGTGGATGCACCGGTGGCACCATAGCCAACATCGGTGTCGGAGTCTGAGTGACACGGGTGTAACAACCCAGAGTACTGGTGTCTGAGGTATTTGGAAAGCATCGCAGCAGTGCTATGAAAGCGTGATGCTTGGACTGCCTGCTTACTTGCTAGTTCTGAAGCCCTAATTGTGGGTGGCACACCATCAGACATCTAACGCATTAATGTAATTTGTATATACCATATGCCATGGACTTGTAAGTTCATGATCCCCTGCTTCCATATTACGATTATACCACCACCGATGCCCGCAGCGTAGGCGCCTCCCCGCGCCCCGAGCTCGCGTACCGCACCTCCGCCTCGCCCAGTGTGCCAGGCGTGAACTCAATGTCGTCGCCAGAGTAGATGTCCCCAGAGGCAGAGAAGGTGGAGGAGGGAAGCGCAAGGAGGTGCGTAGGCGTGCGCGTCAAGTAAACGCGGTGCAGCGCGTCTTCTGCCGCCTATGACGGGGTTAGCAAACGCAGAAACTGACAAAAGGCACGCGACGTACCCGGTACTCCGCCATCCTCAGCGAGCTCCCGAACCCCTCGCCGAGCTGGTCCGCGCCGGAGTAGATGCCCACGACGAACACGGGCGACATGGAATACCGCCCCGTCTCCTTGAGCAGCCGGCTGCGCGGCTTTTCACGCCCGAACTTGGCGACGGTCTCCATGAGGGCCTTCTTGGGATTGGCGAACTTGATGAGCGCGCGGAGGTCGGCGTCCCGCGAGAGGAAGTACGCGTGCACGAACTTGCGCGCGGCGGGGAGGGAGCGGTGGGTGTACACGAGTGCGGTGAGCGCCCGCGGGATGGAGGAGAGGGCGTCCGTGTGCATTACTGCCGGCCGTGTGGGCGTCGCCGCCTGCCGTCGAATGCATTAGCGTCCCATCCGGGTATAAGAAACAAAAAGGGGGCGCACCTGTCGGTGCCAGCGTAGTAATGGCGCGGCACCCATCTCCTGCGCGACGCTCGCACACGTCGCGGGACCGACATGCGCGCTGACGGCAGCCTTGAGCACGCGCAGGGGCAGATGCGGATACGAGGCATGCAGATACTCGCTCGCAAATAGGCCCATGAGTGTGTTGCCCATCTGTGCTAGCTGGGCATTGGTCTTGGGGGTCTCGGCAGCGGGATAGTGCTTGTCGTGCAACGGGAGGAAGGACGGGTGAATGCACGCCTGCTGGAGGGGCGCATCTGAGGGTAGGATGGCGCCGAGACCTATACGGTGTGCGAAGGCGGAGAGGGCTGCTTTGGGCGGTGGTTGGAGGGAGGCCCATAAAGTGGGATCAAAAGAGCGCGGTTTTGCATTTGCGGGCAGTTGGAGGGCCTCCCGTGGGGGGAAGTGGGCGAGGGAGGAGGGGGAGATGGCGAGACGGGAGGCGACCTGGTACAGTCGTTTTGTGGCTTGGACCATAGCAGCGGGGAGAGCACGAATACGCGGGCAGTCGCGTCAGCGCAGGAGAAGGTCAAGTCTTTTTATTTCCCGCGCATTCTGCTAAAAGCGGCGGTGGCTCTTGTTCAAAACCCTCACCCTGCATGCCACTCGACGCCTCCCACGCAGATGGCGATCCGCCTGAAATACCCTCGCCTATAGTACATTCGCATGCTGATATAAACTTCCTCGATACAAGCATACCAAATATCAAAGCCGTTCTTCAGCGCGCCGAGTCCTGTCCAGATGTCATGACATACATCTTCGGCAGCCTGCTCAAGCCCGATCAGAACCCCAACCTGCTCGCGCAGTACTGTGTACGCCATGCTCTATGGGATGCCAGATATCGCGTTGATAGCGTCTCTCTAGGCTCAGATTCGGCTGCGCATAATACAGTCAAGAGCAGGGACTGCTCGTGCTTTCGGCTTGAACGCTTTCGGAAAGGCTTGCTTTGACGGTGGCATCGTGAAGACAATCCTTGCACTGGTCAAGGAGGCGTCGTTTGAATGGCACGGCGCGTGCATCGGCGGCTACTTCGGTCTGGACGCGATAAGCCATCTGGCCAAAACTGGTTCCATGCACGAACGCGATGATATACTAGACCAGCTGCTTGAAAACGACCTCGTTGATCTGCTGCTCGTGGTGAGATCAATTTTACTCATCTCTATAGTATCCTCATTTGGCTCATTGCCGACGCGCAGAAAATCAAATGCCCAGTCGGCATAATGCGACAGGCTGCGGTTACTACGTTAAATGCGATAACTGCAGAGTGCCTTTTAGCAAAGAGGCTAACGCCAGTAGATCTTTCCCGAATCACCACTTCCATGTGCGAACACGTCTTGGCTGGGCCTGCAAGCTTTATAGACGAGGTTGACAGCCGGAAAAGCTCGTGGCAAGATCATCTGATAATGGGGACTGCAACAGACGTAAGTTGGTCTCTTTTCGAAGATGCGAACGCGCAGCTGATACTTTCTCACTTGTGGAGACACCCCTAGATTCCGTGAAGATGTACATCCCGCGCTACTACGCCAGTTCACAAGAGTCGGCGTTGGTGGCTATTCTGACTCTCGTTGGCCGACCAGCACTGACGAAACAAACATGGCTGGAGATACTGCAACACAATCCCAATATCATACCAATGCTCTTCAAGTGTACTTTGATGCGGAGAACGTCATGGTACCCGGAGTCGGTCGCAGATGGCATAGCTTGCGAAGTCCTCGCTTTGCTGTTCCATTTCCCGCCACATCTTCCACGGCATGTGCCGCCGCATCCCACACATCTCCCGGAAGAGCGAGCCATCCTGGATGAAGCCGCAGCGGAATGGAAAGCTATGAAGGAAATTATAGGATTACTCACGTCGAGTGGCGGAGTAGAGAACATCAAAAGCGTCTGGGCGAAATTCAGGGACGAAAAATGGCAGACGGTCAACAAGTACGCACGGTGGCTCGACTAAGCGAAATGCCATTGACTGACACGTCGTGAAACAGCATGCTTTTTCATGCCAGGAAAACTTTCATCGTGCCTGTCATACCTCCTCGGGATTCCTCTGTGCGCGGGGGCTTTCTGAACCGAGGTGAGCTAAACATCTGATCAATCTCGATTCAAAGGTCAAGACGGCTGAAGCTATCAGGGGTGGCGCGACTGTGCATACTGAGAATTATCACCACCGTAACCTACGAAGCAGATGGTATTACAGATACGGAACTCAGGGCTCTGCTACACATCGGTGCCAACGCGACAATGCCACTTCCAGAGACCATTGATGTTATGTCTTTGAACGACCAAGAGGAGTACTACACGTGGGTGGAGCGGTCGCATGAGCTTTTCAAGGATATCTGCACTCTCCAAGGCACCCCTTCCGAGCGAGCTCTCGCCATTCCTTCTCAGCATATTATGGGGCCACTTCTATCCACTCGCTTCCTTGCGGTGATGGCGCACCGCGGCACGATACAGAAAGTCATCGAACCATTCTTCATGGGGCCCGTGAACTCGGGTGCTGTGACCCCCGGGGCCACCGACGCCAAGCCGATGCCGCAGAACATATTCGCCAAAGCGCAGAGCAGGGTCACTGCGTGCAAGGACGCTGCTGCACGTTCCGTGGAAAGCCACCAGCTCGAGTACGCGCGCTTTTTGTATGTGTCCGCGGCAGAGCTGGCCTCTGCGATCGTCGATTTCGACGTGGCGACCAAGCAGCTGCGCACGCACTCCATCCCGGAAATTTATAAACTTCTCGTGATATGCCTGGGTAACGCTGCCGAGGTTTCTCTCAGGTTGGGCCAGCCTGAGCGTGCGTTGGGTTATGCAATGAGCGCCATTCAGGTCGGCGAGAATGCACCTCCATGTCAGGCGGTTGATGAAAGCTTGATGAAGAAGAACAAAAGGCGAAAGGAGGCCGCGATTAACTCTTTGTCTTTGTCTTGAAACTTGGATGGTCACTTACGGGACAATGTTCAGATGCAGTGATATGCCCGTTGTACACAGGGGATTCTGCACAAGAGAAGAATACGCAATTCAAAACAAGTTTGCAAACTAGTACTGAGAAGCATTCGAAGGACAGCTGTGAAAATGGGTATGGTTCTGCTTCCCGTGCCGGCCGCGACGGTGATTGTGAACACAACGCAAAGCATTTGAATTTCTAGGCTTTCTCCGCACTGTTCGAGCTTCGCGCGGCAGAGCTACCTGTGAATGGACTTGAGCAAAGAAGTGGGCAGGGAAACGGGGTGCAATATTAGTGGGGCCAGCTGGGTGCCGGGACTCTGCCTTTGAGAGTCTACACCAGGAATGAAATATCAAACAAATGCAGCTACGCATTACGGACAGAATGGTGATATTATAAACAAAACATATTTTCCCTGATTCACAAAGCAACTGCAGTCACGCATCCGTCGCCATCGTCGCCGTCGCCACCGCCGCCACATCCACCACTACCTTTGCCTCCGCCACTGCATTTGCTTCCGCCGCTGCATCCGCCGCTGCATCCACCACTGCCTTTGCTTCTGCTTCTGCTTCTACCTTTGCATCCACCTTTGCCACTGCATCATCCTCCCTGGCTTGGCACTGATCTTTCAAACGTTGTATGGATGAGCTACCGGGGAGGGTGGGGAGGGGGACCGTGGCGGTGCCCCTCTCGCGTCCGAATATTTGACTGTCATAAAGGGTTAGATGGCCCTCTGGAAAAGCATTGGACAGTATCACTCACATATTCCACCATTGCAGTAGAAGCGCAACCCTTGCGGCG